GATTTTATTAATTAAAAACAGGGAATGGTTTCATGTCAATGATCAGGGCCCCGACCTTAACGCCTCTGATGGTGGCCTACACCGACTCCGAGGGTCACTGAGCTGTGACGCGAGCGAGGAGCGGGCCCACGTCGAACTTTTCTCTGACCGCTGTTAGAATGCTAGCTGCATTGCCTCTCTGCACAGCCAAACCCAACCTTTGCTCCAACCATAGAGTCTCTCTACGTTCGCCGGACAATTCCGTAATGCGACGGCCAATCTCTGATATTAAAGGACCAGTCGTTCCACCGAATGTGCCCGTCGTTTCTAATGCGACTGGCTCGAAACGATACCGAGCTGCCAACGCCGCGCGACTTAGTTATTAATTGGGACTGAGCTGTTAACTGGGATTCAGTAATCATCTGGGAATAAGGTATTAACTGGGATTCAGTAATTATCTGGGACTAAGTTATGAACTGGGACTTAGTTGTTGACTGGGACTTAGTTATGAACTGGGACTAAGTTATGAACTGAGACTGCATTATTAACTGGGATTCCGATATCACATGAGACTCAATTTCCTGGGACTAATTTATGAACTGGGACTTAGTAATTATAATAATAATTATCTAGGGACTAACTCGTGACCGGTCCTGGTGAGCCATGCGTCCCAGGGCCGGGACGCCCAGGGACAAGGCTGGTCAATGTCCCGCACCGACCCATCGGGACACAGGAGACCGTACTGGGCCCTTTCTGCCAGCTGGACACCGGAACAAACTGTTAACTTATTTATAGCAAAAAATCTGTCATCACATGCAAAAATTGGGAATAATATAATATAATCCGAATATTTTAGTCAAAAATTCAAATACTACATGTGAAAATTAAGAATAATCTGAAATAATCCGAATCTTTTGTTAAATTTTCGATAAAATAACGTTGAAAATTTTGTCGATAAAAACTGTCTTTTAATTTATAAGGCGATATTAGCGTGTTTCGCAACGTGTAAACTACCTACCTGCTTAAAAATTTAACTACGAAAAATAAAGAAGGGATCAGGAACATTGTTTTTTTCCCCGGGAGGAAAGACGGAAAAAATAAATTTATATTGTCGTCTTAGGCGTCAAATTAATTATCTCAATTAGACAGAAAATTAATGACCAGAATTAGCATCTCTATTGTCTACATAATAAATAATAAAAAATTATATTTCAGTTAGGCTAACAATTAGCTCATAGAAATATTATCTGGATCAAACAATGAATTTAGGATTAGAATTATTATTTAAATCATATACAATAAATAAACAAATGACACACACCCGCTCAGTGCTGTTGAAGAAGTCAACAGCAGCGTCGTGTTTGGTCCAGGCCACGTCACCGTTCGCCTTCGTCAGACACTGCAGGGCCCCGACGTACCCCGAGTACTGATCCTCGTCACTGCACTCGGCAGGGTTCGCGCACATCGAGCACAGGTTCGGGTACTTCTTTTCTGCACGTCGTGACGATGAGAGTGGTTAAAAGAGTGTACTAATGTGCACGTCGTGACGATGTGAGGTTAAAAGATTGTACTATTGTGCACGTCGTGACGGTGTGTGGTCATAAGAGTGTACTAATGTGCACGTCGTGACGATGTGTGGTCATAAGAGTGTACTAATGTGCACGTCGTGACGTTGTGTGGTCATAAGAGTGTACTAATGTACTCGTCGTGACGATGAGTGGTCATAAGAGTGTACTAATGTACACGTCGTGACGTTGTGTGGTCATAAGAGTGTACTGATGTGCACGTCGTGACGATGTGTGGTCATAAGAGTGTACTAATGTGCACGTCGTGACGATGTGTGGTCATAAGAGTGTACTAATGTGCACTTCGTGATGTGTGGTCATAAGAGTGTACTAATGTGCACGTCAGACACTGAACCTCTTAAGATATACGACGTGAACGCTTCATGTAAATTAGAATAAATTTACTTTATTTTTCATGCAACATTTATAAAACAAATTATTTCTACAGAGAAGGTTCTAAATATCTTTCGAGTTCCAAAGTGAACGCTTTGGAATAAATTTTGATCAATCCGAATAAATCAAATTGTAATTAAAAAATAACAAACTGTAATTGAAATAAATTATATCTACAATAAGGTATTACATATTTTTCGCGTTCCAAAGTGAACGCTTTGGAATAAATGTTGATCAATCCGAATAAATGAAATTTGAACTAAACAATAACAAATTGTTATTGAAATAAATCATGTGTACAGACGAGTTACTGACTGAGGGCGGCGTCAGTTTCGTTGTCAGGAGCCCATCGTCCAGGCAGGCAGGCGAGACCGAAGAAGTTAGACACGGCCTTCAGGTCGTTCTCGGGCGAGATCAGACCGGACCCACACGACAGCTTCAGCTGCTTCATCTCCAGCAGCTGGTCATACGGCATGGCACATCAATAATTATTATTATTATATTTTACTCATTAGTCTTTACTCATCATTTCGATTGTTAGTTTAAGCTGGTCATAGGGCATGGCACATCAACAATTCATATTATTATATATTACTTTTTACTTATCATTTCGCTTTTTAGTTTACGATTATGTACGATTTTAAAGGTGCCTGTACACGGAGACAGTATTAAAGGCCAGCACAACATTCAAACAAAACGCAGGAACTATTTGCCGTGCTGGCTGTTGGCCTCATGTGTAGGCGCTACTGGCCACGACAGCACCCAGTAACTCCTTAACTAGTACACGGAAGGACCCAGTAACTCCTTTACTAGTAACACGGAAGGACCAGAACTCTTTAACTAGTAACACGGAAGGTCTCAGTAACTCTTTAACTAGTAACACGGAAGGACCCAGTAACTTACACGGAAGGTCTCAGTAACTCTTTAACTAGTAACACGGAAGGACTCAGTAACTAATTATCAGGCCCAGTAGTCTAGTAATAAGTGACGGTTTGAATTTGAAAATTATATTGGCTGCCACTACTGTGCCCGTATGCAAGCATGCACTGGGTCATGAGGATGAAGTCGTTCACACTTATGATGAGCCCTTAGGAGTTAGTATAACTAGCCAGAGTTGCCAGATGGTGAAAAGAGGCCCAAACCAAATCAGCTATAAAAAGGAATTTCAGTTTAATATTTATCCCCGATTTGGTAATTTCCAAGTGCAACAATTCTTTTTTGAGTTTTTCTAATGCACTGAAAAATATATATGTTTAAGACCTTGAAACGGCCACGCCGTCATACCGCGTCGATTCTGCACCGTAAATCAATAAAGGTAATTCATTCTACACAATAAATCAGTTAATTCAGCTCTAATAAATCCCATCGGTTCAGCTCCCCTAACAAATCCCACCAGTTTAGGTCTCCTGATGAATCTCATCGGTTCAGCTTCCCTAATAAATTCCTCCACTTTAGGTCTCTTACAATAAATCACATTGCACGGTTCCGCTTCCCTAATAAACCCCGTCGGTACAGCTTTTTAATAAATCCCATCGGTTCAGGCTTCCTAATAAATCATCGCTTCACGTCACCTAATAAATCTAATCATCCCAAGCCTTTGCAGTGGCACCTTTCAGTTTATTTCAGACATTTACCTGTTCTCCTGTGCACTGCTCGGGTCTGTCCAATAATTTGCACCTTCCCGTAGTATATTTCCTTGGCCAGGAACACGTCTTCTGCTCCTACCACCGTCACGTCAGCCTCCTTCGTCACCAACCGCAGGAGGCAGTCGTACCTGACGAGGATAATAACGCAAATTACCAGCCACCTGAAGTGCAAGCTATTTTATATTACCAGGGACCGAACATCCACAACGGCATGCAAAGTAGGGTCAAAACAAGCTGTGGTCACTTACCAAGTGTAAGGCATCAGAGCGCCTAAATTAAGATGCAGATATTATTCTTTAATTAGAACACAATATTATTCTAGGCGTGAAGATAGAGTCGTGATGGAATTGATTCCGAATAAAAAATTGAATAAAACTGACCAATTGAATTTAATTACGTCTTGGTAGAAAACGGCTAAAATCCATTCATAGGGCATTAATTCACACGCAAAATGAAGCCGGCATTTTTTTTCATGCGTGTCAACTTGAAAATTTTGAATGCATCCTACTTAAAAAAAACGGATTACGGATTTACATGTATCTGTTTGTACTTAGTCCAATACAAAAAGTTAACAGCCCCCATAGATTTGTGTCGTCCAACGCAATTGAAAAAAGTTGTAACTTGGGCAGAAAGTGGGTAATTGTTATAGAATTTTCTCGTTGCACTTCGCACATAAATTCGTAGCACTGACCTGTCTTGGGTGACGAAGCAGGACAGAGGTACAGGATTCTTGCGCGTTTCCATCTTCCGGCACGCCGTCTCCGCGTCGCGGCCAGCAACGCACACCCTGATTTGTCCAACTGTGGACAAATTTATAGCAAAATTAAAATTCAACGAAATATCTACAGAGGTTAAATGGGTTACCATCATTTAAGACGTGAATGGCATTAACGATGGTTAATGCATCCGAAGAAAAATGTTTGAACGCCGGTACTAAGTATTTACCAATTAGCCTCTCAATGAGTATAGAATCGTCGGGCTTATAACTGTATATATTGTAGCGTTTCCAAATCGTTGACTCAAAGTATTAGAACGCAATACATTAATACGAAATATTAAAATTATTAATGCAAATAGATGGAATACATATCGTATGGCGGCACCGAATAGCACTCATGAAGGTTTCATTAGAGGTTGAGCACTACAATCTTCTGGCGGGGTGTGAAGTGCATGATACTTGAGTTACAATGATACAATGGAGCTGTGGCAGCAGCACGTCACGCACACGAAATGCGACACAAAAGAAGCGTTTTGTGCAGCGCTAACAAGCAACTGCATTACACGCATGCAGATTTCTCAAGCTCTCTATAAAAATACAATACACGATCCATTCAATTGCTCATGTGGCTTTATTCTTTGAATGGAAGACTAGCAAAGATTTTTCTATAGTATCATTTTCTACATCGTCTTTCAGAGAAAAACAAAATTCTGCAATTGAGCGTGGAATAATTACGCGAGTTCGAATGAATCAACAGCAAATATTGCACTGAAATTATTTGATGATAAGTGTAATGAACATTAGACAATGCAATAGAAGAACAACATCGAAAGACTTACAACAATGGACGAGAATTTCAATGTAAGGAATATGTGTGTTTCACATAACTAATAACTTGTTAAAGAATATGGATGGATAATACAAACCTGGCGAACATTCTTGCGGTCGGGGTCACGACCATCCGGACTATAAACTTTCAACTGATCAACAATTTTTTTTGCAGCCTTCGACCGATTTTATGTCCATCGACATGAAATATCGGATTCGGTTGAATTTTTAGATCCACTGCGTTTCCAAAATGTAACGGTAAAACGGGCAATTTGGCCTACAAGACCAAACATAACGAATGAAATTTGAATCAACCGACTTACGAATGAAGGAATTCATGCCATATCAGCCTTAAACTGCGATGTTAGATTTTTAGCCGTTTCGTGTATAAACTTGTCATTGAGCTTGTAAACTAAAGTAAGCTCTTGAGCGTTTAACTTAATAATTAATAAGGTTAAAAGATTGTGACAGGGCTATTTGATACATGTTAAAGGACTTTTTATGTTTCTTTTAATTGCGAGTCATTGGATTATAAATGCAAAAAAAAAATTGGATCCCTTATTTGAATTCAGCGTTTTGATTGCAAAGGAAAGGCATAATAACATAACAGCGAATCTGGTGTACGCGTAATTGACCCACACAAACTTGCGTTATTTAGCAGAAAATAGAGAACATAAAAATTTAGCCACAGTTATGTGCTCTTTATGTGAAAATTTATACAACGGACTCGGTGACCCAGCGCCGAGGTTTATTAGTTTAATAGCTACGGCGCCGGCAACCCACCTACCGCCGTAACCTGCCTCCCAACAACTCACCTGCCGCCGTAACCTGCCAGCACAGCAGCGCCACCGCTAGCAAGAAGCAACCTATAGCCCGCATTGCGTTTAGCTTCAGCAAGTCAATATATGCACTAAAGTCAACACAAGCCTGTAAAATAAATTATAAAAAAACATATCAATTAATAAAAATGACATAACTAAATGGATTTGTAAAAGATTAACTTTCAAGAAATAAAAACAAACGGTTGTTTCGCGCCTTAAAGCTTGTTTTGCGGCGTTTATTAATGTACCACAGCTTTCAAGGTCCACATTTGCCCCAAGCCATGAGCGCAGAGCTCTCGTCACGTTCTTCTCAAAGTTGAGTCATAGACTAAAATGTTTGGTTCTCACTCCACAACACTCCTTATTGAGTTCCCATTGAGTCATAACAGGAAATGCACTACTAACTGTCGTGACCAATGTATCTACTGACCCCTGTCGTCTATAGTCAGTTCTTCGAATCGAGTCAGGCGAACGTTCCGACTAAAGCCATAAGCTTGATTTGATATACTTTCATGGGATTGCATGCTTAAAGAAAAAATGCACCATAGTGGAGCATAATATTTATAAAATAGTGACAAAAGTTGAGCGGAAACAGTAGCGTATAGCTCTCGCCGTTACAAGGTGTGGAAGCAAGTGTTCGAATGGAATTTGGTGGAACAGCGTCAACCAAACTGAGTCGTTGCAGCACCCGCCACGAAAATAAATAAATGTTAAATATTTTCCCTTTGAACAAATTGCATTTGTCTGAAACGTCACAACATCTATTTCTATTAGAGGTTGTTTAACAACATTTCTGACATAAATTCACTGATTCATTTCAGCAATTCGCTCCTAGCGTGAACAACCGCAAAGCCATAGCACATATAAGACATCTACACTTGACGGTGGTTAGAATACCACTGCTGTCGCTGTGTGGCGTGCTGTCCAGGGCTCCCAGCCAATAATTTGAGAAAAACTNTTGTCATTTCAAAGAAAAATACGCCCAGACACCCAGGTGACGGCCAAAAAACCCAGATCTGGGTGGAAAAACCCAGCGCTGGGAGGCCTGCTGGCGTCGGCCATCGGGCGCGTCACTCGCCTGATCCGGCGTGGACTGTGGAGCCGTGGACTTTTGAGTCACACAGAATGTCCAACAAATTGTTGCAAAAAAAGTTACAGGTCCAAAGTTACAGGGTCACCGGACGTACGTTCGGTGAATAGTTTAAAAAATCTAATGATTAAAATTAATCTGACCGATGACTGGGAGAACTTTATGTGTGATGGCCTGGAATTCATTATATTTATTGTATGGGGAGAAATTTGAAAGTTATCTCAAATATTTTGGAAAATTACTGAAGATTAATAATAGAAATGTAGTTTTCACTGATTTAAAGATTTGCTCCAAAAATTCATGGTGAAGAAGAAGCAAGTGCATAAATAAGGCAGGCATGCTTGGAATAAAAATAAAAATAATATATTAAAATTATTTGTAGACTTAAATGACATCATTTTGTTGATCTCAGTTACCAGCAGCCGCAACACTTAACTTTTATAGAAGAGATGCAAACGGATATGTGCACTTAGTCGGTTTTATATAAGGGTGTAACTGTATTACGTATATAAACATAAACTCATCTGTGCCAAGTTATAGCAGAATAGGACTGACAGGCGTTTCTTAAACATTAACCAACATACATAAAGAAATTAACTTATTATGTTATCACGCCACAGTTCATAAAAAAACTTTTTCAAATAGTCGGAGAGTAAACAATAAAATCAGTAAAAAGTAGTAAGTGCACGCAGGTATGCCGCTCTTCAGTTCAGTCCCCCCTAAACTCCTTTCATAGAAAATGGTGCTCAGCAGACTCTGAGAAGAACGGTATACATGGGCCAGCTGATGAATTTAACTCTCGTATGTCAAAGAGAACCAAGTTTATATACCTTTACAAGTTTTCTCTTGCAACAGTAAATAAGTTTTGTTAATAAATAGTAAACTATAACAAGTGGTTATCCTTGTCAAAATCAGCCCCAGTGGCGCAATCGGTTAGCGCGCGGTACTTATACGACAGTATTGGCCATGCCGAGGTTGTGAGTTCGAGCCTCACCTGGGGCAGCAATTTTTATGACAATTATCTCTGAAAACGATAGGAACATCACAATGCAAAATATATATCATAATGAAATGTATGATTATGGATGACAGTTATTCTAACTCTTACAAAAGTAACTGTAGGAGCCGATTTTCAATGAAATTATTTGCTCGCATTCTAGCGTGTTTCATATATAATTCAAAGTTAACTGAATATTTAGACTTATTTTAAATTTAAAAAGATAATTAATCATTTTTCGATCGTTACCTTATCATCATTTTATCTGTTCTAGGGAAGAATAATATAGCAATTTATTCGAATGGTGTTAGCAACGCATTTTAAGCTAATCTCAACGAAAAATCCGTCCCCAGTCCATTATACAATTAACCACCCCGCCGGTCTAACCTGATGTGTTATGTTGATCTCAGACTCCAGGTTAACCTTCAATATTAAACGCACAAGATTAAAAGAAACATCTCACAAGCAATACATCAATATTGCAGTACAATAAATTACCATTTGCAACACGCTCACTGAAATGAAATCAGTTTGCGTCACAATTGTCACATTTTTCACACTAGTTTGTGTCACAATTGACACAGTTTTTACACTAGTTTGTGTCACAATTGACACAGTTTTTACACTAGTTTGTGTAACAATTGACACAGTTTTTTTATACCAGTTTGTGTCACAATTGACACAGTTTTTACACTATTTTGTGCCACAATTGACACAGTTTTTACACTACATTGTGTAACAATTGATGCAGTTTTGTACACTAGTTTGTGTCACAATTGACACAGTTTTTACATTAGTTCGTACCACAATTGACACAGTTATTATCACTAGTTTGTGTCACAATTGACACAGTTGTTAACACTCTAATTAACACAATCAAATACTGTTATGAGAGCCTAAATTTATATACATATCAGGATGACTCATTAGTAGGGCATCCTAACCCATATAATAAGCCAAGGAGCGTATCAGTGCGTACGTCCGTCCTGAGCTCGTGCTGTGGGTATGAAAGTGTGTAACAATTTGGACAATCTGATACAGTCATTTTTGTGAGTATAACGCTGGGTCTCGCGACACACTCTCCAGAGCAGCCTACTTTGTAACCTTCTGTTTTCAGGAGTTGCTGAAACATACTCTGAATAATTATTGAAGCATTGTCCAAAAATTGATGCACTTTTTTGTCCACGAGCAGGGACAAAAAATGTTCACCCCCCTTTGTGCCGGGTTAAATTCGACTAGGGTTGACCTACAGATCGGTAGATCTGTAGATCAGTAGATGTACAGATGGGAAAATTTTATTTTTTTCTATTGACTCACTCATTCCTCAGAGTGTATGCTGAAAGACTTTTAATAGAAGTGTTCTAAATAACAGACCTCGCTTCCGTACGGTCAATTACTCGCATGTTTAATAAATAAGCAAATAATACAAAAAAACGTTATCATGAAATTTTCCCATCAATAAATTAACGTTATTGTTACTGGCCACTAATGCCATCTAGTCATGAGCCAATTGCGTGGCTAAACGCCAGAGCTAACAGGAGTGCAAGCAAAGCCAACGTGATTACAAGCAATACAATCGGATTGGTTGAAAGAACTAACAGGAGCGCACAGTACCCTACAGGAGAGCTCGCTTCTGCCAACAGGGGTTCACATAAAATCCGACGCAATTAAGAGCTTACAATACTGTGCGAACAAGTCAACCACAATGCGTGAAACTGCTGATAAGATTACGCGCAGTATTAACAGAAATGCACGCAAAGGCCAAAAGGAGTCCGCGCAGCACTTTACAGGAATGAGCGCAACAGGTAAGAGGGGTGAGCGTAATAGTTAACAGGAGTGCGTGCAACCGTTATTAGGAGTACGAGCATTAGTTAATTAAAAGGATAGTGCACAATAGTTAACACGAGTGCGCGCAACCGTTATCAAGAGTGCGCGAATTAGTTAACACGAGTGAGCGCAATAGTTAACAGGAGCGAGCAACAGTAAACAGGAGTTCGCGCAACCATTATCAAGAGTGCGAGAATTAGTTAACACGAGTGAGCGCAATAGTTAACAGGAGTGCGCAACAGTAAACAGGAGTGCGCGTAACCGTTATCAGGAGTGCGAGCATTAGTTAATTAACAGTGAGCGCAACAGTTAACAGGAGTGAGCGCAATAGTTATAAGGGAGCGAGCAACAGTAAACAGGAGTGCAGCGGTGCTCGATGCTGCAGGTGCAAGCGAGCTCAGTCGGCGCTAGGCTGCAGTGCTGCGAACGGCCGTCAATAAACTTCCGGTCTTACCATAATAAAATATTATAGCGGTGTCAGTGAAGATTAGACCGTGTTGGCCTGTTGCTGATTCTTAACGACCCGGCATCCATGCCAATTTTCACTGCGGCTTTCGAGTTTCGAACCCTCAAGTCACTGCTCTAATCTTACTGATTCTAACCCTTACTCTGTTTCTAGTTTGCACGTCTTCTGAATTGCTTTAGTGTGTCAAGTGTCAGTGGATCATTCAGTATCATACGTGATATATTTCGCTGATGATGTTGTTTGTGAGTTCGAGTGTCATAAATGTTACAAAATAATTTTTTTATGTCGTTAATCAATGACATGAACGAAGTAGAAAATTTCGTTACCTGTAACTTATATTTTATGGACAGAGACATAAATTATTTAACGAATATTTTTTGGACAGAGACATTAAAAAATATTACATTTTGAATACGTTCAATTACGCGTAACTCGAATGATTATTGTATACCTATAGTTTACGACTAAATATTTCTGTATCTGTTGAAACTGATGAGATCAAATTTTCGTGGCCGCTGGAAGATGCAGTTAAGATAATTGCGTGTAGTTTACTACAAACAAAAGGTAAAAAAAACTGTGCTTATCCGTATTGATCAGAACCCAAGATGAATTTACTGCGTGTATCATATCAACAATAAAAGATTACTTCATTTTTACATTCGCATTATGCCCAAAAATCACACCAATAATAATCAACAGTTCACGCTGAGGCTACATACTGGAATGATAATCGTTATAGTTGTGATAATAAAAAATACGATAATCGTGAGCAGTTGCAGTGGACAGCAGCAACCAACACCAGGGGCTACGGCTATAAACTAAAAAAATGCGTTGTAAGACATCCATGCGACAACATTTCTTCTCGCTTCGAGTCACCGACACGTGGAACAGCCTCCCTGACAGCATCGTTGACGCTCCTAGTATGAACGCCTTCAAGAACAGACTAGACGAAGCTATGCAGGAGCAGGAGCATATGTTCGGTCCTAAAATGCCTAGCAAACTACGGAGCTAGGTAATAAGTCCAGCAGCTATCTCAATCAATCGTCAGTTATTGAAAGATCGGGTTACAAAGGCCGGATCCCTTGTGAATCAAGTCACGAAAAAATCAAGAATCGGCAACAGGCCACGGCCTATTTCTTCAGTTCCTACACTTCTATTCTATTCTATTCCGCAATTTTCGGATTTCCGAATTTCAGGAGTGTTGTATCTGGTACAGCTACTGATACTGAGCAGTTAGTGCTGGTGAATTTTCCTTTAAATAAGAAAACGGTTTAATTCAACAGAAAACCAAAGCCACTTTTGTCGTCTACTGGTTGGCTTTTAGATGAAAACCTGAAAACGAATATTCACAAAATAATAATAAATACACTTAAATAGATGGGGATGAGTTTGATTCAATGCATAAATAGATTTTCTTCTGAATTATGCTATCTCTAGATCGATTTTTTGTTGAAAGAAGGAATAATGTGTATAATAATACGGTTTTCCTACGTTCTCATTCTGTTCCGAATTTTAGTTTCGCCTGTGTTGCTGCGCTAGTAACAAGTGAAGTTATTGCTTCTTAGTTTTCCGTTTACGATGCCTTTGCTGAATGAAATCCCCGGTGCAGAGTAGATTTGTGAGAAAAGGGAAAATCTTATGATGATTTGAGCGCGATTGAATTGTTTTAGCCCATTACGTATTGTTTTAGTGGTCACCGCTTCAAGATGGCCGATATCAGCAGTGTTTTTGCTCAGGTGAGTACCGAATTACTTACGAAAAAACGCCCATTATCTCATTCACACATCGTTATTCAAACAGGATTTGGAATGTCTAAGTCTCAATGATATTTTCTCAGAGACAAGTACCGTGACTTTAAATACTAAATATTGTTCAGGGCGATGCATTATGTTTGCGGGTTGCCGGTATTATTAGAATATTAGAGTAGCTTTTGAACCATCTCCTCTTGGTAGGCTGGTTGTTAAAATTGAATCATGGTAGGCTAATTAATTAGACTCGTCAGTCAATAAATACAGTAGCCACCTTGGTACGTTTGTTCCAAATACCGTGAAATACGTTCGTTTGTTTAAATTTCATCTTACAAGATTTGGACTAGCCTACATAAATGCTGATATTGCTGAACTCTAATAATTACATGGTTTTAACTTTTCCACAATCACAATGTGAATGAGTTAAATATAATAAGTTTCAAACCACTCCTTCCAATTTATCCAGCCTAGGTAGGTAATTACCTACTTTACTAATACTTACACATTTTAGATACAATTTAGGTTTAGTTTAGTTAGCCTATACTTCCTATCATGTATTCAAGATTTTATTTCCAATTTGCCATATCGTGCAAAAGTTTCCTAAAATTTTAGCTAAAAACTATTGTTTCATGGGTGATTTTTTAAAATTGCAGGTACCAGAACCTAAAATTAGTAGGCTGTTTTTCTTATTTTTAACTAAATAATTTAGAAAAGGGCAATAGGCCTAGTATGGGTGAAATTGGCCAAATTCACAGGCATTTTATCCTGTTTAGTGTTCACTGGCATTTAAGACCGATTCACAGCCTCACAGGTGGCTTTTGCCGCTGCCCAATTTTCCAGTTAGGGTTTGTTCAGTTGAATGTTATCTGATATGCAACCACAATACTCCAAATACAGCCATTTGGATGCAGTTCCAAACCATTTTTTGTGGAAGATAGATGTGATCAAATCATAAATTTTGGGA